TCGGAACTTCATATAAACTAAGCCATGACATCTTTAATAATTAAGAACTTTTTATTGTTGTTTGTTTTAGGTTATCAAAAATAATTATTTTAAACATTTTTAAACATATTTTTTCTTATTTGGGCATATGGAAACCTCAATCCATTCAAGGTCTTTTGGTTTTCCGAAATCAGATTCCATCATTTTTAGAGACTGCAACTGCCACCTCTGCGGTCTAATGTCATTTGTAATTCTACGCTTCTTAGTGGCTATATGGCAAATTGTGGCCATTTGTGCTAATAGGAAGAATCGGCTGCTTACAATACGAAATTCTTCACATAATCGCATTCGTATTTAGGGCTTCGAATTACAGAGTGTTGGCTTGCAACACTTTCGCCTCAATCGCTGCGAAATCAAGAGCTGAGTGGGGGGAATAGTGATTCCGATTCCGATTTCTATTCGGATTTAGATTCAGATTCGTTTGTTACTCTGGTCTGTACTCTCTGCATTGGGTAAATGTGATTTATGCTCGACTTTATGTAAAAACGTCAGCAACAATTCCGGCAGCAGAGCACAAATTAACTCCAGCGTGGAGTTGGTCCTGCCTCGGCCAGAAAGTCGAGACGTGTTCCGTAATTCAATATCCACCCAAAAGAAGATGCAGTCAGGGGCTCAGAGGTCACATTTGGCAGCCAACTCGGTAAGTATTCCCAGAGGATCCGAATAATTTCCTACCCTTGGCACTAAGTATTATTGTGCATTAGAGGACTAATAAACAGGTTCGCAGTTGTCCTCGAGGTCCTTCTCCTCGCTTGCTCATTCATAGTTTGTCTGGGAGTTTATACCTTCTACGTGATTTACGGCAATAACTCATCGTGCTCATCGCAGACACGGGCCCTGAAAAAGTCCTCGCTCGGGGAAAATCATGAGACAAATAAATCAGGAATACTAAATTAATTCACTTTTCTTTTCTCGCTTTCCTTAATTAAAGCCTTAAATGTGGGCTGTGATGTATTCCCTGGCAACTTGAGGCTACTTAAAGTTTTAATCAAAAAGCGTGGGCTGTGAATAATGACGTTTTTGACCGATTTAAAACTGGGATATTTATTTTTAGGCCCGCCTTCTCCAACGCAGCTTCAAGGGGAAATTAAATTAAACGGACACAGACATTTTGCAAAGAAAATTTGTCAAGAAATTGAAAAATTAGTTGAAACCACCTTGCGATACTTTTTAAATATATTATCAAATTTATCTAATGTATATCATTGCACTTTAACCTTTATTTATATCCTGTCATTAGTATTCTAGTTTCAGCATAAGCAACGTTTATAGCCTTAGCAGTCCCTCTATAAACAGCATTTTTAAGGCAACCCTAAAAACACCTAATAAAAACCGAATTATACAAACAGAATATTAAATTCATTTAACATTTCTATGCATACCTATCAGCCAAGTTTCTTTCTTAATTCTAACATCAATTAAATTCCAAAATAAAAACCAACTGAGCATACTTGAGGCTACTTAAAGTTTTAATCAAAAAGCGTGGGCTGTGAGTAATGACGTTTTTGACCGATTTAAAACTGGGATATTTATTTTTAGGCCCGCCTTCTCCAACACAACATATTTTTAATATGAACAAAATAAGTTTGATTTTATTGATTAAATAAAATATGTTAAACTTATTATAAGAGTAGAATTATTTTTTTGATTTAAGAAATAACAAAGTTTTGGATCTATAACTTTAAAAAAGTACATAAGACAATTGTTACATTTATAATATAGCAAAGTCAAATAAAATTCTAGAAAACCTAAGATATGGTGTGTCCTTACATTGGCTTTGATTATCCACTTGATGAACAATGCACTGCCTGGATTGTTGTGGGTTTTAAACATATTTAGTTTTTCATGCGCTTTGTTGATGTTTACTCTAGCGTGGTGGGTCCACCCTAATGCCAACTTATGACACCAAAAATGCTCAATTTCCAGGCGTTGCGCTTTCCTCAGTTCGTTGTCGAGGGTGCGGGAAATGAGTAAAGGATATCAACGGGGTTACAGCTGAATTATTCCAGTGGGATTGGGATTCTGCTTAGGGTCGGGGCGTTTTGTTTGCTTTTGTCAAGGCAAGACGCACTCCCTTCGCTAAATAATCACCCGAACAGCCTTCAGCCTTGCGACAATTGAGATATTCAATTGGCAACAAGCGCCGCATGCAGAGGCTGTGCACTGCAAGAAAGTACCACCTAAGACCTAAGAAGTTTATAAAATAAGCTTGTATATAATGCTAGTATGGTACCTAATCTATGTAACTATATTTGAATTTTCAAAAAAATAATAATAAGAAGCAATTCAACCAGATATGTATTGGCCTTAAAAATAGACTTATAAATCTAGTTTGATCATTTTGGAAGACAGCATAAGTATTAATTTTTTAAAATACCTTTGAATTTAATTATTTTTCGCAGTGCAGAAGCAACCACCCAGGCAATCAGCCACCACCCGATCCCGCTGAGCGAGCGATTAGTTTGGGAAGCTGCCCGATGTTGCGCATCCGTGGATTACAATTGCGGTTTCCGCGCCTGGCGCTACAGCAGAATCAAGGGGGAGGATTGCAGATTGAGGACCGAGGAGGGAGGACAGGGGATAGAGGACTCAACTGCCCCCGGAAAATCACTCCAGTTGTGCGTGTTGTTGTTCTTTTGCTCGGCCTGCACTTGAAATTGTCAGCAGGTGCTCAGTGCTGGGCGTTGTAACAACATTTGCAGTTATAGTGTTACACTTAGTTAGCAATGCAGTTACGGGAATCGGAGGCGGAATCAATTTAACTGCATTTGGCAGTCGATTGTCATGGCGATGATTCCGATGGCCCTGTGTGTTTGGGCCATTAATAAACATTTCGTCGTCTGTTTGTGTAATAAAAATGCAATTCCCATTAAGTGTCCAGCTGGGGGGAGGGAGTGTTTCGCCACCAAGATGACCAGCTGAGTCAGTTCGCTGAAGGGGAAAATGAAATGGATTGTCAGGGGCACTTCGATGTGAGGTCAATTCAATGAGGTTGGCGCTTTAAGTGGAGGCCCCAAACACATTTAATATATTTTGATTTTTTACAATAAGCAGTAATGAAGCTGACACTTAGTAATAAGTCAAAACTTATATCATTTATATGCCCTTATAAGCTTCCTTTATTTTTTCATTTCATTCCTTAAAAAAGTAAAAGTAAATTCCCACCTTAACCCCAAATTTTGAGTAATTTAATAATACTTTTTCACAAATAAAGACCAATTAAGATCCATTGTCTTATCCGATGTTCATCCGGAACGAAAAAGGCCAGCATAATCGAGTCCGGAGATACACGAAAAGGGTGCAAAGCTGTTGAAAAGTCTTTAGTCATCGCCCCAAAATGATTTTCATGTCTCAGAGCCATAATGATGGCGGCAATAAATTCGCATTAAGATCGCCTTGAGTAAACTCATCGGCACGCAGATGTTCTTGTGGAATGACTTTAAAAACCCAGCCCAGTTTTTGAAAAGAGCTGATCCTGACGGAACCGATTTCCCGACACTCATAAGCTGAAAGTACCTTCTGCTAATTGCGTTTAATTCGTTCAAAGAACCCGCATTGTGAGTCTATAACTTTTGCTTTTTGTTTTATGCAATCATAAAAACGCTCGCTCAATCAATAATGCATAAAGATCAGCTCCGTACTATTTTATACTTCGATTCCACTCGCTCAACTCGTGCCTGTCGACGGAAGTTGCTGATTTTGTGACTTTTCCAGATCGTTTAAGATTGATTGATCAATGTTTTATGATCACCAACGCCTCGGTCGACGACCATCCATGGGTCGTTTGATCTTGGGGCTTTGCTTTTGTTGCGGGCGGCATAGATGTTTGTTCATTAAATCGCAGGATGTTATCGATCATTGCATAAATTAACATACGACTTCTCATTTCGTAATACTCCCTCTGTCAACTTTCTATTAATTTTTATTTTCGATTCCATATTGCTGTCAGCACTGCAAATGTGCAAACATAATTACTAATCGTGGGAATTTGTTTAATATTTTTAATCAGACATTCAACATTTGGTTATTCTAAACAATGTAAGACTGAAATTTATTCTACCAAACTCCTAACTTGTTATTGATTTCCTTAACCATTTCATTTTACATTTTGCGGCTACTACAAATTCATAGGGCAATATCCACGTACCCTTTTTATATATTTGCCATAGAAATTGTCATATGCAAAAGAGCCAGGGCAACGAAAAAGTAACTCACCGTTTTATATAAGGTAGACAGAAATATTTTTTATTGATGAAATTGGTTTGGCTACAGCTCAACTCCATTTGCAAAGTAGACAATTTGCTGCTGTGCAAATTGCAGACTTGGGAATAGTCCAACTCTAGGCGGAGGAGCGGATAGCTTATGTTACCGGAGTTCACCGTTCACCGTTTGCAATTTATATATTTTTTATTGTCAAATTTGGTAGAGACACAGCTCCAAGATGAAGATGGAAAATGGCATTGGATGGTTCACCCTCGTCTCGTACGTGATATTTGATATCTGCGGCTGGACACGTTGGGGAATAGAAAACAAATTCAAGTGGGCCTCACCCACTCATGATTTAATCATTTCAGTTTAAATATTCCTCTTTATAATTCTCATGGTTGAACTTATGATTTTTTTATATTTCTACTCGTATACGTTGACGTTCAGGGTTATTCGAAGGACCTTGCAGTTTGTCTTGCGAATACCAAACGAGGTTGTCCAACTTCTTATTGACAGCTTGTGTGATGTTTACCTTAGTTTTAAATTACATTAATGGTTTTTACCATCTAACCATCTAACCCCATAGAAAATTCTATTTTCATATTTTGCTTAATAAATTCAATTTATTTTGAAAACATAAAAATACTTAGAATGTAGATTAATTGTTGTCTTCATAATTATTATTTTAATATTACATACATTATGTTGTTGAACATTAAAATGAAAATATATATATATATATTTGTTTAGCGGTTTTTACATACATACACGTAATATGTATAAATAAGTTAAAAAATTTATTAATTAGACTAAATTCATTGGAATGATATAATATCAAAATAGTTTGCATAATACAGCGATTTAGTTAAAATTTCACAACTATCTAGAAGCGAAAACTTGGAACATTTTTCTTTTGTTTTCACGCTTTCGAATGGTTTCTTTATATTGGATTCCTTGTGTTTGGATTTAATTTGTTACATTTTACAAAGTACGACACGCACAGTTGTTATTGATGGAATTTGAATTTCTAAATTTGATTTTGATTTCTAACTGGCCGCCTCTGGGCCACACACACACACACGGCAATACAATTACCTGACATACATTAAGAAAAACTTGGAACCTCCACTGGCTTTGGAATAGCTTTGGTATGTTCGTTAGATGGCAATACGATTACGTTTTAATGAGAACTTGAGACTGACTATAGTGCTGGCTTTAATTGATTTTAACTTGTCTTTGCTATTTTTAGTTTTTGGCAACATTGGAAATATTGTTTAACTGGCTGGCTTAAAATTATTTAAATTGTTTTAATCTTTTCTCTTTGGAGTTGGGCTTCAAGCAAGGGAGAATGCTTGCCGAAGCGTTTCACTTCTATCTATTGCACAATGGTTGCGGTTGATTTGGGTTTGGATTTCGGTTTCGGTTTCGGTTTGTCCTTCATGTTATACCAGCAGCGAGACCTTCTGGCAGTTGAGTGTGCCCATCGGAGGAGCCCCGTTTGATGGTGACCCAACCGCACTGGCTCCCTGACTCCCCGCTGGCACTCCGCCCGGCACTGACCCCGCCGCTGCTGCTGCACTCAGTTCGGCAGAGGCCGCCGCTGCCGCCGCCGCCGACATGAAGTCCACCTTGCCCAGGTGGACCCGCAGGTCCGTGTGCTGCGTCTCCTTGTGTCGTCGCAGGTCCACCTTCCGCTGGAAGGCCTTGTGGCACAGCTTGCAGGAGAAGGGCTTGTAGCCAGTGTGCTTGCGGGAGTGCGTTATTAGGTTGGAGCTCTGACTGAAGGCTTTGCCACACACCTGGCACTTGTGCGGTTTCTCACCTGGAAAATAGAAGGATAATACACGTTAGTTGAGCTTGTTCAGTTAAAAGTAACAAATTTTTCCTCATTTTGTTCATTTTTAGGTGCATTGACAATAATTAAACTTACTTTCCATATCTATCTGCTTAATCTAGAAAATATAAATGTAAATAAAATTCAAGATAAGCTTTAAAATAATACTTTTTAGAGTTTAAATGAAAATATACGTGTGAGCATGTTTTATTTAATAATAAATATAATAGGTATTTAAGTTAAAGATATGGTTTTACCATTGCTTTAGAGCGACTTTACAACAGATTGACGAATTTTCGGCTGATTATTTCATAACGGTACCTTTTTGCAACTTTACGGTTTCTACTTCTTAGTGCTGGACATTCTCAATGGGCTCTTCAATACTCGACTCTATTCGATATTAGTAGGGCTGCCAACTGATTTGCATAACCCTACCTCACATACATACACTTCACATGCATACTAATACCAATGATATATTAATAGGATAGGCATGACATGTTTTATTTTTTGATTTGTTTGTTTTATTGCTTGTTTCATTTTCAAATAAACCAGCTTTGGGAGTGATACTAAACTGCACTATCTGTAACATCTGTAAGTCCATCTCCTGAGCCTCGCTGGATTTTACTCCTGCCTGACTGAATCTTAAACCAGTGTGCGCCATTTTAGCAGCTTTTGTGCCTTCATGAGCCATCCCATTCCTCCCCTTGCTGCATACACACACACACACGCACACCGAGATGGGATATCTCGGGCGTCAACCCCCAAAAAAAGTGAATCGTCGCCAGACAGAAGCATTCCCCAAGACTCCATGTAAGTCATCTCCGCAGACCGCAGCCGGGAGGTACATCCATCCCCTGTGCTCCAGAGATGGGGGAGTCCTGGAGTTTTTCAAATTTAAACTTTTTGGTTCATCAGTGTGATGTTCTGTGGTTGCGCTCGCATTTAAAGTCGGAATTTTCCTTGCTCTGTTAACATTTTTAAAGCAATTTTGTGGGGTTCTTTTTTCGTTATTCCCCGCTTTATTCAGGGCTTCCCCCAGTTCTGTGCTTTATACCCCATTTATTGCTCATTTTCATGCTGTTGAATTTTTCATTAGAGATTTGAGAGGAAAGCTGCTTTCGAAATGAACGATTTTTCTGGAGCCACAAATGTCATGAAAATTTCGCCGGTTATAATGAAATCTCAGAAATTGCAGAAGGAAATTGAGAAAATACAAAATTCATTTGGAAAGCGTACAGCATTTAGTCTTAAGTTAGGGGAAGTTGTATTATGAATTCTTTTATTACTAAAATACAATTATTTTTATAATTAAAATCAATATTCGTTTTGTCTTTGCTTCTAGCAAGAAGAGAAACCCATATTTTCAGCTTTTCCCCAGTTATACAAAAACTTTGATTATATTTATTTTCCCTCTCTGAATTTTTCTACTGCTTATAGTGGTAGTTGCCTCTTATCTGTAGCCCTCTGTTGTACGGAGATAGTGGCATAGACTTGTTGGGTTACATTTTATGTACTACACTCATACCCATACACTAGCCAACAACACACACACACAGATACGGATACATATATAGTAAGAGATTGGGTCGACGGCAACAAAATAACGACGACAACATGCTAACTTGAGAGGACCTGACTCCGTAACTCCCTACCGAGAATTGGGAAAGTGTATATAAAATAAGCAGAGATACGGGTACATAGCGGTGGAGTGAAAGAGAGGGAAAGGCGGTGAGCGAAAGAGAAGGGCTGTGAATCCAGCGAAACGAAACGGAAGACAGCTTCGTTGTATATAATGGAATTGCAGCGACGTGATTGTGAAACATTCGACCGTAGGGATGTGCTCTGATTCAACTTTCAGCTCCCGGGGCATGAGAATTTCTTTTCCTTTTGGAGCAGGAGTTTTGAGTGGGTGGCCTGTTGGGTGGTTGGGCTGCTGGCGAAGTGGAAGGTCGAGCAACAGTAAAATTGAGCAGTCAGATAAGAACCGACTCTCAGCTGGCCTCACCGAGCATGCCTGGATGCAGAATCTGGAGGGTTCCTTCTCTTGGGTCCACGGCTCGGGGCACGTTCGTGCACTATCGGCACAAATAACGTCACGTAGTCGCAGAGATTATAGAGCAGCTTTTATTATTTATCACGGCCAGAACGACCCACGAGCACTAACGAGACCAAAAAAACAAAAAAGAAGGAAAATAAGGAAATAGAAAAATCCCGTCGGCCGTCGGTAATTTGGAAAGATGTGGAGAAGTGGGCTAGGTGGCCTCGAGGCTATTGCCTTGCAGAAGGAACTTATGTATCAGGGCCGATTTTTTTTGTAACTTGCTTTCCCAAGGATTTTTATTGCTTCACATTGTGGAGATACTTTTAAATCTTGGCTGCCTGCTGAATGGCTTTCCTTTTAGTCTTCTAATATGTTAAGCTTTAGTTTTACCCTCTTTCTTGTACTCTGAATTTGTTTCCTGATTCAACACGTTCGCAACATTTTCGGTGGTTTGGCAATTTTCGCTAAGCGCTGGGAATCAAATCACGCATACGCCCTGTGGACCGACGGCGAAGAAGATGGGAAATTGCTTTGGTTTGATTTGGGAAGTGATTTGAATGAACCTCACAGAGGGTCAAGGAAGGTCAAAGAAAGGGGTTTTACTGACTAGTATGTTTTGTACTTTAATAAACTATGTAACTCCTATTTTTTACAAATTCCTGCTATGATTTATAGGATATAATACTATACAATATCCAAAATACTTAACTACTGGGAAATTTAAACGATTTTAGGCTTTAAAAGTTTTTCTACAGTTTAAGATATTGATTTTGTTTAACCCGAAACACCTTTGCACCTCAGACACACTAAGATTGAACTTTGGAATGGAAAACAAAAGTCATGAATAAATAAAATAATCCTAAAATGTTTTTCTCCCTTTCTTTTTATAGCGCATAAATTGAGAAAAACGAAAATCTGAGGCAGGGAAATAAAACCGAAACAAAAAAAAAAAAAAGAGCAAGAGGGAAATGCGAAAGGGAAAAGCACGGACTAAGCATATAAAACATTTCGCCAAAAAGTAAATACCGAAATGCAGAAAGAAACCGAACGGAAAAAAGCGAAGAAATTGTTCCGAAAAATCACATCAGATGAAAGAAGGAAAAATCTGCTGTCTGGGATGGAAACACGTCTCGACACAAGAAGGAAAATTAAGGAAAAGTCGTAAGGAAAGCAAAGCGAACCGAGCGGAACCAAAGCAAGAAAAAACCAGAGCACTTGGATGGGAAATCCTGAAATGTTCGGGGCCAACATGGCCACATGTGCCTCCGGCAGAGGGAGTAGGAGGACCTTTTGGGGGCCTTTGAGGTTGGGGGAGGCACACGTCCTAAATCGAAGACGGCAAACGATAAAAATGTCTGGAATACTTCTCTTTCTCTTTTTGTATGTCTGTGCGGGTTTGCGGGGTGCTGATTTCTTTTTCACTGATTTCACCAGACGCATCAGCGAGGAAAGTCTGCTTATTAGAGGTTATTATCCTTGCCATTTGTAAACTGATTTCCAGCCGAACAGGAATTTCGCTTTTTATGCTTAATGATCCAGTGTGCGTACGTATATATACGAGTATATATTAAGGAATGAAATCTGATGCAGCAATATAGAACTGATTACAGCGAATGAATTTTAATGTAATGACGGGAAAAAGTATTGATTTATTTTGCCAATGGCTTTGAAGTTGAACAGATGTGAAGTAAAGAACGTGTTTATTCTTAGCTATTTTCCGTTCAGATGCTTTTTATTTGAGAATTTATAAAAATATTATTAATACTATATTGGAAAAACAAAAGCCTTTCCAAAGCAAGTTAGCCAGTAAAACTTTTGTACAATACCTAAAAATATTCTTTGCTATTTCGATATTTTCTATCTGAATAAAAACAATTTAAGTATAGTTTATGTTTTAAGTAGATATAAATCAGTTATCTTTAAATTGAAAGGAAAAGGTTTAAGAATTTATAAAAGTTTAGATTTATTTATTGTTTTCAAATAGAAATTTAAGATTTGTGTTTGTGAGTTTCTAAGCTAGAAGAAATCGCATTTTATATTCGAAATTTCCACGTAGCCATCAAGAACTTGAAATCGATGCTAATGTGTCGGCCCCACCCAACGACCTTCCCCCCTTTTGCTGTTGCCTGCGCCCTGTTTCGCAATGGCGTTTCAGTTCCGTTTCGTTTTCGAGTTTCCGGGGGTGTGTGTGCACCTACACCACGGCAGAGTGTGTATGTGTGTGCCTCGTATTTGTTATTCGTGTGAGTGCGCGCGTATAAAACAGAAAATCAAAATCTCTTGACTAAATTTTTCATTGGTCGGCTGTGATTTCTCAGCCCGCCTCTCTCTATCTCTCTTTCTCTCGCTCTCACTCTCTCAGTGCCTTAGTGGGTATATCTGTGTGTGTGTGTGTGCGTTGCGGAGTATCTGTGTGCAGGCCTTCCAGTATATAGATTCTTTCCGATTCAGATTCTTATCACTGGCAGCTCTCTCTCGCTCTCTCACCCTGAATCTCTCCCTTGCGATTTCCGGAGAGCAAACTGGGTGCTCTTTTCGAGCTGTCGTCTGCTCCATTTTTTTCAAACCCCCCTTATTCGCCACCCTCCCCCCATTCCCCACACTTCCCCTGAGATTTCGCCATATCTGGTTCTGCCGATGGCAACTGTAATTGCAACTGGCGACTGCGGCTTTTCGGGGTGGTTCGCCGCTTTAATGGCGACGCTTCCTGCCCCCTTGACAGCCCGCTCCAACGGCACACACACACACCCCAGACCCCACACTCATGGTGCCCTAAACTGCGTTTGTGCTATGGCGAAATTCTTTAAAGTTTGCTTTGGGTTAGAATTTTGCAGAAACTCTGTGATTTATGATACCCTCTAAAACTAGCAGGTTATAAACTAAGCAGCACGTGTTTTATCTCGGAATACTGAATTCCGTATTGTACTGCTTTCTGTTTATATTTAACTTGTTAATAAATAACATTCAAACTTACTAATTAAAAGATATTTCTAGGTAAAGTGATATTAAATACGTTTACAAGCTTAATCGCTGCTAAAAGATCATGGCTGTTTCTCCAACAAGGAAAGGAAGAAAAACGAAGACTAAAAGGAAAATCTGTTCCTGGTAAAATATCTGCACCGAAAAATGAACCCCTTATATGTATGCTTGCATGTTGCCACAACCAAGTTGCTTACCTGTGTGGATGTAGGTGTGCTTCTTCATGTCGCTCTTCTGGTGGAACCGCTTGCCGCAGTAGTTGCAGGGATAAGGCCGCGTGTCGCTGTGGATGAGCAGGTGGGTGGACAGAGTGCTGGATCGCTTGAAGCGTTTGCCGCACTGCTTGCATTCGAACACCTTTTCCACGTTGTGCACCGCCCTGGAAAAGTGGAAAGGGGTTGGGTTGGGGGATTAGTGGGGTCCCAGTAATGAACGTTCGCCGTAATTAAGGTCCGGTAAGTCCCCAAAGTGGACAGAAGTGGACGTGTTTTAACTACTGCCACAAAGGCAAACATTTGGTCAGGCTGAAATCCAGCCATTTTGGCTAAATTAAGTAATGCAAAGTGTCCCAGGCGGGAAGACCACTTATTACACTCACAAAAAATAGTTCATTTACGTCATTTATGTAAGAATTTTTATTTTTTAAGTACCTATCATTAAAAGGAATCTCAAATCAATGAATAAAATTTATCTAAACTCAACAAATATCCCAGAATTTCTATAAATTTTTTTAAGTGTTGCCATGCAGTGGTGAACCCATTTCCCTAGATAGATCCTCCTCCCCTGTGGTGGCATTCTACACATACCTGTGCTGGCTGAGGCTGACCTCATGGCCGAAGGTCTTGTTGCAGAGCTCGCAGGCGTAGGGCTTCTTGCCGTGGTGCGTCCGGCGGGAGTGGACTTCGAGGCCGTGGGGGGTGGAGAACATCTTCTCGCACTTCATGCACGAGTACAGGTCGCTGAATTGGTGCAGGCCCGGCCACTTGGCGGCCATGTGGTGGAAGTGGTGCAGGTGGGGCGAGTGGGGCAGACCGAGATGCCCACCGCTGGGTGGCACGCCCACTCCGACACCCACGCCGACGGCAGCCGCTGCTGCTGCTGCCGCCGCCGCTGCCGCTGAGGAGTTGTTCTGCCCAGCGGATTGGAGCGGCCCCATTAGACTCCGCAGACGGAAGAGATTTTCCTGCGAGTCCGGATGGTAGCTGCGGAAACACATTTAATTGAGGCGAGTTAATTAAAATGGGTCCCGAGAGGCAGAGTCTGTAGATGTGCATGGCGAAATGGGCAAAAAAGAGCTAATCTGGTAATGAAATTGTGCTTTAAATTGTGTTTGCTTTTAGCTGTTTAGTAGCTTAACTATATTTGAAAAGTATTTGTGTTTGAAAAGAGCTTTGAATGTGTTTCTAATATCTGATATTTAATAGTTAAAAGTTTGTTTTAAATGCTTTCTTTCCCAATCCGAATCTAGTATAAGAAATGAAAATTTCACTTACCCTGCTGCCAGACCGGATTGCTGTTGTTGCTGTTGCTGCTGCTGACCTTGGTGGAAGGCGACGGCGGCGAAGAAGGGCAGGGCGGGCGAGAAGAGCGGACGCTGGAACATGGCCGCTTCGTAGTTGGGCGGATAACCCTGGCGCATCGCCTCCAGCGGATTGAAAGGCATTGCCAGCCCACTGGCTGTCAGATGTCCCAACGGCGGGCTGCGTGGCGTCCGTCTCTGAGGAGGCTCATCTCGGCGGAGCAACGCTGATACGGAAAAGAGATCCGACTTCTTTGATCCTATGCTGCGACCTCCACCATTGGCGGTGATCAAAAGTTCAGAGGCAGATGCGGAGACGCCACTGGGCGAACTGATCCGCGGACTGCCGGGTGGCGAGTCCACTTCCAGTTCCACGGAAGAGCTGCTCGAGTGCGAACGGGAGCGGGAATGGGAGCGAGAACGAGAACGCGATCGCGAACGGGAATGCAGGGAATGGTGCGATTCCGCATCCTCCATGTCGATTTGGGAGGAGCAGGGACTCCGGGATCTCGACCTGGAACGGGAACGCGACTGTCGGCGCAGCTTTTCGCTGGCGGTAATGAAGGCCGGCTTGGTGCGCTGGGGAAGATGCGGCTGTTGGTGGTGCATCTGTTGGTTTTTGCTCAGCATCGAGATTGAGTTGTTGTTGTCCTCCATTGGAGCCGGCGGCTTCAGGCCAACGGCAGCCGCCGCCATCGCCGTCAGTTGTTCAGTCTTGACCAGTCTGCTTATGCTAAAAGCTAGCGAGGCATCTGGAAGAGTGAAGAGTGGGTGTGGTTTTAGTATAAAGTTGGGATTTACTTTTATATAAAAAGAAAAGTAAGAGAATAAATATATATTAAAGAAGGCTTTTTGGTTTCTCTTTAGATAAAAAAATTACTCCTTTCCTTTTCCAAAGATCATTTAGTAAAATCAGAGCTAGGCAAATTCCAAATCATCAATCACTCACTGAAAAAAAAGCAGGGAAAGCAATCCACCTGTGCAGCCTCACACACAGGAACAGCCTCGTATGTGTGCCAGTTGGCAGCGTATCGAATTTCAAATGTAATTATTTTCGTATTCAATCGCCTAATCCACCTTACATGACCATTAATTCACCCTAATCAACGAATCCTTCCCCTCTCATGAACCGCTTTCCGCATTTGACATCAACGCGTCATCATTCGGCATCGTCACCCCGAAATCTTTGCCCAGCGATGATGGCCACGGACACAGATACAAATCCGTGTCCGTATACGGCGCCGGCGCTCAGGGTTGACGCCGGCACGCCCCTGGACAGGAGCAGCCACCCGACAAGATTTCCACATTCAAGTTCTGTCTGTATTAAGAAACTAACTAGGATCTTAAAGTTTTCTAATTTGTTTGGCTTGATATTCTATATTTCAATATTTGTAGAACTTTTTATGATTTTAAATATCTTTTTTTTAATCATATATTTTTCTTATTTATACGATTTTGTTGATCAAGTAAGTTTAGAATATATAAAAATAAAATTTTGAAGTATAAAGACTGTGAATAAACTCAGAGAACTTAACTTTTTGATAACTTGAGATTTTTTCGAGTTCAAATAACCGCCTTTTCTGTTCTTAAGAACCCATCTTCGGATTCTGTAAACCTCATTTCACACCCCGTAAAACGCAAATGAAAACGTTCGCCTGGTGCACAGCACCCAAAATACACATCCTCGGAGTCTATCGCCTGTCGAAATGAAATAATAATAATGTGCGTTTAAATAGAACATCTGTTCGGTCCGCACTCGGCTAAATGGAGCATGACAAAACAGAAAACACACAGCGGGCCGGAGAGATGGGATTCGGCTGGAATCGGGGGATTGGGAACTGGAACTACGGCGACATTCCGCGTGTGCAAATTGACGCAGGCGCAAAAGGACAGGGGTTGCAGGGAAAGGGGTATGCCGTGCTCTGTGCCCCGTATGCCAGCCATATACCGTCTACCGTGTTCCGTATGCCAGGCAAGTGAAAACCGCGACGGGGCCTGAGGCGAATCGAATGAATGAATGAATCCGCATCGCAACAAAAGAATAACAATTTGACAACATTCTAATTCGCCACGCAGATAAAAGTAACTGCCGCAGGGGTAGGGGGATGTAGGCGGAAAGTACGTGGGCGGGACTTTGATTCCGGGCCGTACTACGGACTACGGAGTCAGTGAGGCGGCAAAACGCAAAGCCAAGCAAATATAAACAAAGCCCACGCACTAAACGCAGGCAGGCAGGCAGGCGAGCAGAGAGGCCCACGTATCCATCAGATACTCAGATACAAAAATGGGGGTGGCTGCTGCTGCTGCTCGCCTGCTTTTCCTGCCACAGTGTCAAGTGTTTTTATTGCCCTTCTGCTGTTGTTGTTGCAACTCCCGCTGCTGTTATTTTTGCTCGAACTTGGGCCTTTGGATTTTGGTTTTTGCTTCTAAGTGCTTTTGAATATGGAAATTGCCCATAATCCAGACTAGTTCGGATTCGTTTGATCATCGTTATGTTAGGCTAAGTTTGGTTGTTCTAAGACTTAGTATTGGGTTTAATAAAAAGAAAGATGTTTGATAGATCTTTGAACTCGAATACCCCTTTAAAAGCTACCTTATGTTGGCCCATCTATATTGAACTCCCCCTAAAAATCTAAATTTTAATCATTGACATTATGGCAAATGTGTTTCAGCCCAGCCCAACCCTTTCTTTCTAATTATATACGCAATCGTCCCGAGAGCATTTCCACCAGCCAAAAACAAATTCGAATCGAATGGAGGACGAGACAATGGCCCAACCACCAGGATAACGCCAGAACAGGGGGCTCAGGCCCACACAATACTAAATATATATGGAATAAAATTGGAAACGTTTAACGTTCGGCAGAAGCTTGCGGGCCCAAAAGCAACCCCAAGGACCAGGAGCAGGACAAGTGGCTTTTGGTGGCGCACGTAGAGCGACTTGTTTAAACGATAATAATGAGCTTAAGCATGTGCCCGATGTCGCTCCAGGGTGGCGAGTCCTTCGGCTGCTGGAGGCTGGCAAAGTAGCATCAACGACCCCTCGACGGTCGGCAGCAAAGTTATAAATTTGTGAACATTAGACATAGACCTAGCCCTCGTCCACCCCAAGCATACCCAACACCCATAACCCACACCCACCTCTACAGCCTGCCCTTCGGGTTCGACGTTCATCTGTTTTTATCCGCCCGGGAGCAATATTCACGCACTCCACGCACTTGTTCACATAAAAAGGAAGAAGGTAAAATAATTATTCGACACTGCATGGTAATTGAAATCATTGTTATCCTGCGCCCTGTTTTGTGTCCTCCGCCCACACGGACCCACGAACCCATTGTCAGGCTCTCGCCAGGATTATTATTGTTTTGGGGCGATTTGCAGCCATTATCATTTGGTTTGGGTTAACGGCTTGGCCCGGGGCTGCTGGTTCTCCTACTGGAGGTGTTAATTTTTGGAATTTCATTTATAATTACTTGGCAGTTTGTGCAATTTGGCGGGCGGTTATTATAAAAATTGTTTAGTAAACATTTTGGAAATACTTCTTGTTGGTTTTCCGGCTTTAAAGTTGGAAAGTGAATTAAATTCTTTAGGTTACAAAAAGTTATCCCAAGGAAAGCTGATTAATAAATATTATATAAATATAATATAAATAATATACCTTTTCCTGTTTTAAGAACTGTGTTTTTCCAAGAATAAAAAGTCGATTGCTCAGCTCATTTAGCTGCTTAACATATTCATATTTGGCCGTAATTTACAGCACCTCTTGTGGAGCAAAATCAGTAAATCGAGAGGCCGTCACCGGGCGCCGGAGTGGGTGCAAAGTGTTTTTGAGGTATCGACTCGATTAAATCGACGTCGGCGGAGGAGTGGGCAACAGGGGCCGGGGGCGAGTGGTTATAATAAAAAAAACAAATCCAACTATAGAAAAAAAAAAAAAAAAAAAAAAAAAAAAAAAAAAAAAAAAAAAAAAAAAAAAAAAAAAAAGAAGAGAGGGGGAAAAGGAAAAGGGAAAAAAAAGGGAAAAAAAAAAAAAAATATATAATTTTTTGGTTTTTATTGAGGCTGTGGAAAATTTTTGGAATATTTGGGAGAGAATTTAAAATTTGGTTTTATAGTTTGTTTGAAATTGAGTTTTATATTTATATTGAGATTGGATTTGGGTTTTGGAATTGGAATGGCAAGAATAAAATAATAGGAGAAAGAGGAGTTGGGCAACTTTAGTAGTCTTGGATTGCGTATCCAAACACTCGACACTTGGCCATGTATGTACATATATATTGGCTTTTACCTATCAGCTGTTAGTCGAGAACCGTCGGCAGCGTCTCTTTGATGCCTCTAGCCAAATGTCGCCAATTGCAATTACATTATTTATTTTTACACTGCAAATCAATCAGGTCGGCACCCAACGCTCGCAATTCCAATAGCTCAGCAATGACTGTTCCCCCACCGATCCCAAGCCCCTTCCCTCTACATTGCACCCTTTCCCAGCTGCTTATCGCTGGGCAATAAATCAGAAGGCTATCTAAACTTTAGAACTACAATTTTGTACCTTTTTCCTTTCGCTGATAAATTTCATTTAATTGGTGGTCCCAGGCAGCCGACAATTTTCACTTTTTCTTAACAGAAACTAAAATTTGATTTTAAAATATTACAAAATTCAAGAAATAACATTTGTTTTCTAGACAATTCTATTCTGTTGCATTTGATATCAATTCGATTTACTTTGTTCGATTTGATTTTTAGGTTCAAAGTACACATGACTACTACCATTGCCCACAGCAGAAATTTAGCTGATATCTGATGTGCAGTCTGCGAGACGGTTTATTGTTGCTATAAGCCGATATCTACTCTGGTAGCTTTTATGGCGGTACAAATTCGATATCGAAAATCGCAGTTCTTCATACTATCAGCAGCGGGAATCGATCGGGGTACTTCTAATTTCAATATTCAAACAACGGACGTGACAAATGCCAAACGGGGTTGGGTTCCAGCTCAACTCCTTTGCGCTGGAAATTGATTTTTCTTTGTCAAACATTCGAGTAATGATAAACTGAACTGGACGGCAATCGAGGGCATAAATAACAACAAAAAACGGGAAACGGGAATGGTAGAAGGGAAACGATCCGAACTATATAGTACTTTCTTAATGTTGCACCAACTATGTCTGTGGTCTGTGGCCGGTTGGCCTTTGTTTACTTATCGGTCGCTCGCTTGTTTTATGATACTTTTACTCTTTCGATTTTACAACTGGCCACAGAGGATATTGACATGTTTAGATGTCGTTATGTATTTACCTCGGATCGTAAATCATAACGCGTGGCGCGGTGTGTGTGCGTAGTTAACTATCTCTCACCCTCGGGATATGTGTCTGTTATTTTCCTTCTTGTGTATCTTGCAGATACACCCTGTGCGGATTTGGCTTTCTTTTTATTTGGCTGACTGACTGACTGGCTAGGCGATATTTTGGATATCTTTATAGATTTACAATGCCCAATTTTCGTCTACTTGTGAGAAGTTGAAAAATATATGACAGGCGATGAGTTGCCAATGATTACGACGTGTGTCGTAAACATTTCATAAATATTGCTCTGATTTTCGTTGCGACAATTTGTTATTGATCAATAATGTACTTTGCGATCGTACTCGTGAGAGGAATATGGCTTGTCGAATTGTGAATGCACTGAAAATTATTCAGATGAATGGTTATTTAAGTGGCTGATATCTCAGTCATGTAGTTAGATAAAGTCAGTGGGATATTTGCCCAAACATTTGCCTGGGTCTCTCTTACTCATTCTTAGGAAACTAAGCTATTTTCAAAGACATTCATAACTTTCGTTGTTCTGCACTAGTATTACTCACTTTCACAATGTTCCAACTATTTAATTTATACTTTTTAAAACCAATCAGTTCCACGGTGACAAATACAAGTTTTCCAATAATTCTTCGAGATAAGCCAAAGTCTTGGCGATTGTCAGAGGTTTATTTATTCGATGCGAGATTTCGATTGCCTTTTTAATTGTTCAATTGTTTGGTGTGATTGAAAAGGGCTTAGTAAATTTGTTTTTAAATTTATATCGGCGCATTCGTGGCATCATATATAAGAATAGCCTGCCTGCAGAACGCGATAGCCGCTGAACGTAAATCAGATATTTTTTAATTTATATGTCCAACGCAATGGCAATCGTTCTGATTTTCGGACTGATATCACTGCCAAAGTATGTCTCTGCGGGGGTGTAGCTTGTTTTTGTAGATGGGAATGAATCAATGCTGCTCTGAGTTGCCTGTTAAAGTAATTTGAGTACTGGCTACCATTTAACCCATGAACCCCTTTCAGACTATTAGTCGACTTTTAGTCTGGGTCCGAGCAATTTTCACAATTTAACTTAATTCGTGACTCAGAAGTGCCGGTGTCAAAGATCTGTTTTTCCAGTCTACGCATTAGATCGACCAGCGGCCGTAGGCATCATTAATTGAGTCATACGGCGGTGGCGTATGACAAAAATTAAGATCATCCATTCATGGGTGGGTGGGCTAATGGCAAATCGAGACGATATTTATGACTGACCTTTGGGGGCAAGGTTCTGACTTAATGGGTAAGAAGATAAGTTATGCAATTAAGCTTTAATATGTAAAAGACTTTTCTTCTTCCTATTCAATTATTAATTTTACAAAGAAAGTATCACTTAAAATAACGTTAAAAAGTAGGCAACTATTTTTAAAGTTTTTTAAGTGACTTTTGTAGGACCATCCCTGTCAAGGATCAAGTATCAGAATACAATTACAGTGCTTTTTAAATCCATTAAACCTTCGGGTTTAAGCGGTTATATCATACAGATTTAAGCAAAGTTCCCGTCCCGTCAACAGGCGGGGCCAATCAGTCACCAAAGAGCCAGCCCTGCGAACTTCGGCCACATCAACCAATATATTGTCCCACCAAAACCGAGAAAATATTCCAACAAACAAAGCGAAATTCATTTTCTCTAGAGAAAGGAAAAGGGAAGGAAATGCGGTGAGCGGGGAGGGCGGTTTGCTTGTCGCGGCAAACGGAATTGAAAATTCAGTGTGCGAATGTGTTTCGGTCTGTGTGTGAGTGTGTGTGTGTGTGTGCTTTTTCCGCATATCCATGTCTGTGTTGGAAGCGGTGGAGAGCTAAAAACATATCCGTTGGATACATGTAATGCCGGTAAATGAAATCCGCTTGTCGCTGCCCTTTTTGTGTGTGTGTGTGTGCGTGTGAGTGGGAAAATATGGGATGGATGAGAGACAGAGAGAGAAATACATTCGCACATGTGCTGGGTTGTGTTGCCAATTTGGCTTCTTTCTGGAAAAATCTGAGTTATTTTAATGTTGAAAACTGAAAACTTTTCAACTATCAGGCACAAATATAATTCACAAATTATCATAAAAGATATTGAATTATTGTAAAAACCTAAAAAATGGTTGAGTTAAAGATTCAAAATTTGTTTTGAAAATAAGTTAAAATCTATTTTACCCTCTAAAGCTAAATGGGCCTATCTGGCAACTCTGGAGCCTGGGGCTACCGTGCAAGCACTCATTCATTCATTCAATGGTCATATTTGAAATTCAACAGCGATGGCGATGACAACGGCGTCTGCACACACAGATACAAGATACACAGATACACACCCATACATACATGTGTATCTGGACCGGACTGAACTGGACACAGGACTGTGTATCTACAAGTTTGGCCGATTGTTTGCCTTTCGCAGCCGTATCCCTGTATCTGTGTATCTGTGGTCCAGCTATGGATTTTTCAATCCCCGATATCCATTTTTCCGCCCCATGTCCGCACAGAAGATTTGACCATTAAGCGCCGCGCAAACACTCACACATACACACACACACACAAACGGAATAATGAATATTTGCTCCTGCTGCCCCTGAACAATTTTTGTTTTCCACGCTCCCACCGAACCGAGCTTGGGCTTTTTCCAATTAAACCGACACCGTGCAGCCTTTTGGGCTCCCACTCTCAGGCCGGACATGGCCAGTGCGATATTTTAAAATCACACATTATTCAAATAAATTTTTAAAAAATTCCTACACTGCCTCCGGACCCGCCTTTGGGGGATTTGTCGCGGCTCTTTGCGGATTCGAGTTTCACGGTTTCCGTGTTGTTGATTTCATTCTCTTTTTGTTTTCCTTTTTTTTTTTTAATTAACTTGGGGAATATGAAATGTGGTGGGGGTGTGAATGGGCTTATGCCAATCTGTTCGGAGGCTGCATAAAAATTTAATTTGACAAATGTTGATATTGACGAAAGAACGGGAATATCATTGATTGAAGACGTTGTTCTGCTGACAATTCATTTATTTAAATTTTTGCTTTTTTAAGGATTTTATGAGAGGATTGGATACGATTCTTTATTTTAAGAGCTAACTAGATTTCATCGAAGTAAAAGTAGTTTTCAATTTTAGTTAGGTTTAAAAAATAATATTACTTTTAGGCAGAAATTTATTTAAATGCTTTCTTTTTTATTTTTTGTTTTTTAAAATCCAAAGATCCTAAAAATATTTCTTTGAAGAAGTAAATTTAAAAGTTCACTTTATCCTTCATTATTTAAGACTATAAAAGTTGAGCCTATTTAAAAATATATTAACTTTCAGTCGTAAAATAAATTTAGACTTAAACAAAAATGTTAATAAGAAAACGAAAAACCACAAATATAATTTGATTACGGCTTAGTTTTCAAATTTGACAACAAATATATTATTATTACATTAAATAAAACATTTTTTAATATTTTTGTAATCCCATAACATTACTCATAAAATGAAATAATGGTTAATGAGGACTTAAGCCAGAATGAAGTGTATTAAAAATTAGCTAAAATCGTTAACATTATTAATAAAAATTAAAAATCAAATTAGAAATAGATTGATTTTCAAGATTTCCCTTAGCAAATCCCCAAGTAGAGTAAGTGTTTCTGGCTTACCGTCGGAGTTTCGTTTCTTGGGCAGCACCGCTTTGAAGGCGGACATGGGTGCGTACTCGTGCGGCGATGAGGAGGCCGGCGGCATCTGCGGCTGAGGGGGATTGGGATTCTGGGTCGGCTGCTGTTGATGGTGACCCAGGGCCGCGTCCGCGGACATTTGGATCCGCTGGTGTAGCAGCTGCGTGGGCGAGGGTATCGTGGCCATAGCCGTCAAGGCGCTGAGATCCCTCACCTGCAGCGAGGCAGAGGCGGAAGAAGAGGCGGAATTCGAGGCCGAGGAGGACTGTTGGCTGGTAAGGAAGGATCCGGGGAAATCGGCCGCGATGGCTGGCTTAAAGTTGCCGAGGCTATAGTCGAGGGGCAGGTGGTGTTGGTGGGCGGGCGGTGCGGCCGGATGCAGGAGATGTTGACCGGAAGTGGCTTGCATTTTGGCCACGTCCATTTCGGATTTATCACTGATTTAGTTTATTTTATTTATATTTTTCTAGGTTTTCGCTTTGGTTAACTTAAGTTTTGGTTATTTGGTTTTTGTTCTTTGGCTTTGGCACTGAAACTGTTTGGTTTTTACGCGACGGCATGCGAATGCGGTTACGGTGGCGTATACGCAACGTGGCTACCGGAAGGAAGTGTCACAGATTTAGGGCTTTAATGCTGCTGCTGCTTTTGTTGCTTTTGCTGCTTTGGCTGCTGCTGGTCGCATAACTGCTGGCTTCGGCGTCATCGAGCGGACTGAAACACCGTAAAACCTAATCACGGATCCCGTGGAACGCTGACGCCGGCGCCCGACCGAGAGTGAATCTCTGCTGCCGAGCTTGGAAAACTCTGCTGCTGCTGCTGCTGCGGCTGCTCTGCCACTGCCTCGGTCTCTGCCTCCTGCACTTGACTTTTCGCCGGATCCGGAGTACGGCTATATGGCAGATATGCTATGCTGTGCCAAGTGTTGCGATTTTCGCCTAGATTTGGCAGCGACTTCGACGCTGGCAGCGACGTCAGCGAGAGAACGGCACTCGTTGCTTTGCCTATCTATCTGTATGTGTAAACGTATCTGTATCTGTATCTGTGTCTGCACTATTCCCCGCTCGGATTGCTAACGCTCCGATTTTACCGCTGTCAGCGAGCGTCTGATGGCGACTGAAGCGACTGTCGAGCGGAGCGGCCCTCGAGTTTCCACTCAGCGGAAGCGCTCTCACCACCACCGCTTCGATACGGGCGCTGCGAGTGCGAGCGGGACAACGGGTGTTTCCAATTGGAACGGCGGCGACCAAGTGGAATCGGAACAGCCACCACCATTTGTCGCCCTTGGCCACGCCCCATTTCCAGCTGGCCATGGTTAATCTGGATTTTTGGTAGCTTGTTGTTGGTATTTTTAGTGCGCATACCGCTTTGATTCGTTCAAATCAATGCGACCGCCGAACAATGGTGGAGTGGGTGGTGGGTGCTGGCAGGAGTGGGTGGCACAGTGGTACGGGGTTCAAGGGGGGTGCTGCGTGTGCGTGTGCTGGGCGCGTGTTTGCTGGCCTTTGGTTTACCTGCTCTGCTTTTGGGGGCGGGCTCTTTGGTTTTTTCTTAGGTTTTTGTTTTTTATTTATTTCTGGCCAAACTGCTGAACGCTGAACCGCCATCGATTTGGTAATCGCTGTTGTCTTTGGCGTTTGAAGTGCCCCCGCGCCATTTAATTTCAAGTGGTTCCTGGCGTCCATGGCAAACACAAATGCCGCATGCTTCACACTTGACTATCCCCCAATTGCCTTTCCCTTTTGCCAGCTTTGACTTGGCATTCGCGATTGGTTTTTGCGCCATTAACTTCAAATGGTTTCTGCTCCGGCGAACGGTGGCTAAGTGATTTCCTGGGAGCAAAAGTTGTGCTGGAGGTATTTCCGAATGATTTTTCCTAGTCAAAGGGTTTTCACCTTTCATTGTTTGCGCAATTATATTTAGAATTTCAAGTGTGTAATTCCATTACCTATTCCGGAAAATGTGGTTTGTTAAAAGTCAGGTGCTCGTAAGTCTTAAGAGGAGGTTTTTAAGGAAGTTAAGACTTTGATACAATTTAGGTTCATGATCAGAAATAAAAACCTATAAACTTAAAAAGAGCCCATTTGAGGTTTTCAAACTAGGAAACTTTATCAGTGCCAGTTTAGTGCACAAATACGTGGATTCATCATATTTTTATTTATCGATTTATTATTAATTTGTTTTCAATAAACTGTCTTATCTCTTTTTAACTTCTTCAGGAAATTCAGTTAAGAAGCTTTCACTAAAAGGTATATAAACTAAATATATATTTTTACTTCTTCCGGTATGCCCATTCTTCTATTGGTTAATGCAATGACGAATATGAACATATAAAAGTGAAAGGTAAACCGTTCTGACTTTAATAAAAGGCACAAAAATTAGCAAAGCCTTTAATAGGGCACAAACATCCAAATCAACTTATTTTTATATATTTTAAACATGGCAAATGCCATTACCTGATCAACCTAATCAAGAGCGCTGAAATCTCCAGGAAATAAAAGTTTATATGAAGTTGTTCTTTTTATATATTACAATAAGAAAGTTTGTATTATATATATATATCAAAAGAATGACCTTTGTTGGCTCGTCTAATAAGTTCATTGCTGACTTATGACTTAATGATGACTTAATCGAAATTGCTGAAAACTTTGTAGTTTCTTGTAACTGTGTTTATTTAAAGATGACCAAATGTAAAGTTAGGTCATAGATATGGCTATATTTTAAGTCTTAAGCAAATGCATTAGGAAGATTCTTGAATAAATTGTCTTCCAATAAAAGACCATTCTGAGATTTCACACAGAACTTTTGAGTAAAACCAGAAATTGGTTTCCCAATAGCTTCTTAATTTCGGGGGACATCTTCTTTGAGCAAAGCTTTTTGAGCTTCATAAATTAGACAATTTTGACAGGCATCTAATTTTTAAAAACTCATGCACTTAATTGCGGCATTAAAAGCACAGCTCTGAAAACAAATACCCAGTACCCAGTTTGAGCTTCTTTAAATGCCGGAAAATAAAAAAAATAAATCGTCTGGTTCTCTGGTGGAGCGCACATGTCGCTGGAAGTCCCCTCGAAATTATGACAAATATTTACAAAACACAAAGAGCTAATGTTCCCATTTCATCGGCCGCATAAATAAGTATTATGAACTCCCGTTCTTCCCTCCAGACTTGGTCACAGATTTGAATAACTCCGGGCGCCCCAGATCCCAGCTCGGAATTATTGGTGTCACTTGGTTTTTGGCATTGTTTTTCCAACACATGGCAACGATTTAAAGAATTACACACCAAATTTAGTACGTCGAGGATGGAGTGTGAACAAGTGGAGTTGTTCCCGCTCCGATTCCCATCGCCTCAGTACCGTTCCCACTCCCTTTCTGCTCCAGATCCAATTAGAGAACCATGTACAAATCTGACTTGTAGGCATGCAGGAAGATTGACGTGCGTCCATTAAAATCCGTCGGAGTTTGGTAGTTTAAATCTGATATTGGGGTGCTGAGAGGGCGTTGCCAACTCTAGGAAGACTAATAATATTGTTTTCTTTAAAGACAATTTAACATTAATATTATGATAGGGTTTTCTTTTAAAGACAATTTAACATTAATATTACTGATCAACAAGGCAGAGGAATGATTTTACATGTAATAAACTTTGTCTATTTAATTATTTTATATTTTTACCTTTTCTTATTTTATTTTTGCTGATTACCAACTTTTGTTATTAAAACTTCAGTTCTAAGTCTAAGAATTGAAATATTTCAGAACTTTAAGTTTTGCGTTTCATTTTTCAGACTTAAAAGCAACAAAAAAGTATCAAAACTTCAGCATAAAATAATATTTAATATGGACAAAATCATATCAGACACCAAAAAAGGTTCAAAGTTTTAACGATAAAAGTTTGTATTGATCATTAACAACTCCTAAATATAAATATAAAGGAAAATCCGTAAGATTAGCAATTTTAACAACACTCTATTAATAACAAAGCGTTCATAAAAATACATAAGTCAGTTGGAAAGTCCGTAGGAAAGTAGGCATTAAAACCAGACATCGTATATAGTAGTCCGATAACTCTACCGGCTTTTATTTGAAAACGCTATCTATGCACTCGCCTTGCCATATCACCATAGAATTGTAAGCAATCGTTACGATTCGATTGGATTCTATATTGCCCGGTTGTAATCAAGAACCGAAATGAAGTTTTACAATGGTTAATAAAATATATTTTTGACATGAATTTTCAATCAGAATTTTAATAGCCCTTAATAATAACATGGCTATCAGTTATCAACGCACACCATCGGTTATCAGAGTAATTTTCGTCTGCTCGCTCTTTTCTCCGACACAGAGAGAAATAGAATAGTTAAATGTATCCCTTTAAGATGAAGTATTTTTAATAAAATGAATATTTTAAGAATGCCTTACCCACTAGAAACCATTATAATCAATATTTCCCTTCATATTCCAGGGATTTATTTATCATTTTTAGCTAGAACTCATTGGGAATTATAGTTCCTAACTGATATATTATGAAAATATTACTGTGTACTAATCGACTTAGAGAGAATCCAAGAGCAGTGCAATTCGAATTCCATATAGCCGCACCATCTCCACCTCTTCCACCTTTATGCAGCCGTACAGCAAAGGTATTCCAAAGGTACCCAAAACCAAGTCCGAGCCGATACCGCCGGGCGATCCATCTATTACCTCTGTGTGGTGGCAATATTCCACCACCGAAGCTATAAATAATTTATTTATAGCTCTTACTCCACTCAGTGTTGCGGCGGTGTTATTGTTGATTTAGTGCCTCTTTATAGATCGATAGTTGTTGGCTGCTCGTGTGGGCTCCACTCGGCTCAGATAGGGCTGCGGCTGCCTCTGGATCGGGGGATGCACAAACAGGACGCGAAATGGCCAAATGACTGGATGGTGGTTACTGGGCTGGGTGGTTATAGCCTCTGCCATTGCCCCTGGATCTCCTGGCTCTGAGTTCGAACCGTGGCAGGCGGCTTGGAGCCGCTGGCCCTTCGATGGGTGGAGTTGGTGCCCTTATCTAATCGGGGAGCCGAGTGCGATGGTGGGTCACAGATCGATTGCGCTTTTCCGTTGATATGCCCATATATTTAGCCTGGAGGCGGCAGATTGAAATAAAACTCCGGTTTTATAGCACCCCCCGCCCATCGGAACCATTGCAGCATATCGGTTAAGTAGTACTACCACGCACAGATCGTTCGAAGAGGATAGAATTGTTTACAAATATTTATGGCACCACGATTTACCCAAACAGCAATTTTTATTGTAATTATTGACAGCTTATGGGTTCCCTCGAGTTCTTATGTAGTGATTAGCTGTGAAGTGGCGGAAACTAACTTTTAGGTGAGATCAATACAGGTTTTATCCAATTTAAAGTTCTTTGACTAGTTTGTCCGAGGGGTTGTTAGGCCTGTACTAAGATCTACGATCCATTAGAATTCCCACTTGGCTGCAGTTTCTGTTTGCACCTTTGTTGATCGGTATTTGTTTAATTTACAACTTGTAAACGCGGCTCATGCGAGGCAAAGTAAAGCCAGCACAGAGCAAATAGCTTGGGCCTGATAAAGGGAATGGTGGAGTGGGTTTTGTGGCGACACGGAGTCTACCGGGTTAGTGCTCGCTTTTATTGATAAGTTGTAATTATGTTTATGGCTTTCGTCTGTTTGCCGGGACTACCTTTGGCTATCGTTCAAGATAAACTTTTCGATATGACCGAGCGTTTCTACAGTCATTATTCTGTTAGGTTAAGCCATTCTCGAAGAGATCAGTGGAGAGTTGGCAAGTGATCATTTCATACTTACCTATTGTGTTTACTGTTCATTGACTACTTTACTTTGGGATAGTGCCTCTTTGGTTTTTAAGAGTTACATTTTTCATTCTGGCAGTGCTGGTAGGTAATGCCATGCAAACTTCATCTGTCAAAGTGAGACGTTTTCATATCATCATGGAAAGACTTACAAACGAGCAAAGATTGCAAATTCTTGAAATTTATTATCAAAATTCTTGCTCTATGAAAATTGCTTTCAGCGATAAAGCTCATATCTGGCTAAACGGATAAGTTAACAAGCAAAACTT